CGCTGTACGACCGCTATATGGAATACGCCGATCTACTGGCCACACAAGGGCTCGTGGATCTCGCTGTCACATACGTCACACTGATCCCCAAGGATTACAATGGCGGTATTGGTAAAAATAGCCCCTTCCACTTTGGCAGAGAACGCATTCTCATTGCCGCCGGGAAACAAACACCTACAGCGACCAGTGCTGCTACAGCACCCACCGGAAAGGCTGGTACTGCACCCACCACAACCGCCCCTAGGGTCCCCGCAAAAGCTCCGGCACCTTCCTTGTATCACAACCCATATTCAAACACTGGTCCCACCGCAACCGCACCCTCAGGCTATTCTCCTTATAATCCTCCTGTCACCAACACATATGGACCAACGCAGCCCAGTGGATACACACCTTCCGTGACTAATCCATATGCAACACAGCCCGCAAATGTTTACAATCCTGCAGGCGGGCAACCGCTGTACAACCAACACTCTCAACCTTCTATGATCCCTGCTCCCCCTCTCGCCGTAAATACAGGTTATACGCCTCCGACAAGCACCGCGCCCACACCACACAATACCGTACCACCTCCGATTCCGGCAGCCTTGAGAAAGGACATTCCTGGATGGAACGATCCGCCAATGGCCCCTCCCAAGCGAGCGATGGGAACACCTACGGCTCCACCGATCACGAATCCACTACCCAACTCACCGCCAGTTCAAAACCCGTCGTTTTATGGACCAGGGCCTGGTCCTGGTGGAATTATGGCGCCACCTCGCAGCGGCTCTACTGGTATTCCTCCTCCTCCTCGAGCAGGTGCTACTAGCACTCCACCCCTCGGTCGTTCTGGTGGAAGCACTGTGCCGCCTCCTCCCAAAGCTGGAGCAATCCCATCTGGATCCACTTTGACTCCTCATCAACAACCCGGGCCCTACGGACCAAGACCAGGTTCTGTCGGCCCTACAGGCCATGGTTATGATGTGCGACCTCCTTCCACTGGACCACAAGCAGGTGGCCGCTATGCTCCACCTCCACGAGCAGACTCGGCAGATCCAAGCCGTGCAGGTATCCCTCCTCCACCAATGAAGCGAGACGGGCCAGGATACAATGTGCCACCAGTCGGAGGAGCTGGTCCTTATGGCCCTCCAGTAACTACGAACGATCCAGCACAAAACCCTAGGATCCCTCCTCCTCCGCGTGCCAGTGGTGCCTCTCCAATCGTGCGGACTGGACCTCCGGCCGGTGGATCTTATGGGCCTCCTCCCTCCACCCAGACGTCGTCTACTCCAGTGCAACAACCGCCACCTGTAGCAACGCCTCCAAAGGCAGCGCCTAAATACCGTGCGTAGTTTGTCTTTCCGCTCGTTCTTTACTGATATTGCGTATAGCGCCTGGAGATCGTAGCCATATTCCAGATTCCGTAAAAGGAGTATACCGAGTCATGTTGGCAGAGTTGGAAAACTTTAAAACGATTGTGGTGAGTAGGAGTGTATGATTTCTGATGGA